CTATTAATGAATTTTTATACATTTATTAAACACACTTTTTTAGTCACAAATAAGTCAGAGAATATAGCTGAATTGACAAATGAACAAATATACATTTCCATATAGTAATGCATTTTAGCCGTAATTTATTGTTGCATAACTTTTGGCTGCAGCTGTAAAAGCCAAAGCTTAACCCTTGGGCAGTCGAGCGGTTCAATGAGCACCCACAACACTTGCCCAATTTGAATTGCCTCGACCTGGTCTGCTCATAAATATTTATGAAATGCTTTTTAAGTGATTTTAATTGATGTGTGAGAGCTGTCATAAGGGTATCGCACACACTCACACACACATATGCATATGTGTATGCATTTCAGCTACTCAAATGTCTCATTAATCTCAATAAAAAAATAAACATTATGAATAATATATACACAAAAGGGAGGGGTGACCCTTCTCTGCACATGCGAGTTTTAGTTTAAAGTTCTTATGAACTGCCCCTCCCCTCCCTTGCTCATCTATGTACAGCAGCCAAGCGCCATGCAGCAATCAAATCAAATTGCTCGCTGCTCGAAGCTGGCCGCCAAGTATAATTCAATCAATTTTTGGTGCCGTTGATAGGCTGCAAAATAATAACAGAATACGTTGATTGGATGCAGCAACACGAACGGCACGAACTAACTTACTAACTTGCCCCACCCCGCCCTGCCCCTCGCCCAACCACTATCGCCCTCTCGTGTTGCATGCCTTTGGTCAGCGCTGCTCGAGCAGTGCCTGCCACACGCATTTTGAACGCTCAAGTAGCGTAAAACTGTGATGGGTGAGGGGCAAGGGGGAAGTGAGGCGGAAGCGGGTTAGCTGTGAATGCGGGCGGCCGCCTGTTGCATTCTATTAAGACACGATGCAGTCAGGTTGTGGATGTTGCCGTTGTTGTTGTTGTTGTTGTTGTTGCTGCCTCTTCGGTTGTGTCTGTTATTAAAGTACAAGCTATGCTTGAGCACATTGTTGCAGTTGTTGTTGCTGCTGTTGTTGTTGTTGCAGTTGTGGCTGTTGCCGGCGCAGGGCATTAAAAATTGAAATCATGAATTAACGACGCAACGAATGCCAAGAGCACTTGTTTATTTATGTCGTCACCGCCTCCCACTCTGCCACCACCCGCTCTCACGCTGCCTCGCTCACTCGCTCTCCCTCTCCCTCACTCTCTCCCTCTCACTCCCAGCTCAGCTTGGCCCAGCTCAGCCGGCAAGCGAGCTGCGTCGTTTGAGAGCGCCAAAGCTGAGCGAATCGGTTAAGTGCCGGGCTCCCCCGGTTTTGGCACTCGCACTCGCGCTCGCACTGGCAATCGACCCGATCTCGCGGCGATCCGGCGGCTGCTGTCGTCCGGTTGAGCTGCTCAGTCTTGTTCGAAGTTCGCGTCGTTCGGTTGTGGCGCAAGCGGCGCGCGCGTTTTCTTTTCAATCTATTTGCTCATCGATTCGTCGTGTTTCTCTGTTCGCTCGAGAACAACATCAAAATGTGCGAATAAAGTTTTTGAATAATGTAAATTTGGCATCGAAATGTAAATGAATTTCTGACGCTCGCCATAAATTAACAACTAATGGCATTGAATGCTAGATAAATTATATTTAATACAAGAGCAAAAACAAACAACACAAACACGCACACACACACACATTTATATATATGCTGAGGCACAAATTGTGCTCTAATTTAGTTATTGTTGTTGGCCATCGTCAAATCAAGAGACAAGACAAGAATTGCAAAAAGAAAAAAACACGAAAATTAAATATCATTTCGTTGACTAGCTTTTTGGGGCTGTCAGTTAAAATTGACATTTGTCGGGGAGTTCGCTAGCGACAGGCTGGCAGGCAGGCAGGCATTCAAAGATTCTGGCAGCCACGCCTCATCTTCCAGGCATCTGCTGCATCTCTCTCTCTATCTGTGTGTGTGCCGCATTTTTATAGTGGCTGTTTATTTTTAGAAAAAGTACAATTAAAATCATTTACATTGCCCCATACGAGAAATCGCTTCAAATGTTTTGGCCATAAAAATCAAGAAAATAATGAAACTAACATGAAATTACCTAATGCCACAGCCGGGCACACACACACTGGGCAGCAGTAGAAGCAACAGCATTGGCTCACATTGCGTATGCGTAATATTTCAAAAATAAATGAAAGCTGCCATAATTTCTGCCAAACCGAAACAGTTGCAATTGATTGAGCAGCCAAGCATCAGAGGAAGGGAGAGAGAGGGATAGAGAGAGCAAAGGCACCCAACAGCCAAAAGGTTAACGTTTTCAGACACTGCAACAATTTTTGGCTCATGTGCGCGATTGTATCTCGGTATCTCGCAGATACAATACAGCAACAATGATTAGCCTGACGCACATCCGCCAAATGTGGGCTATTCAAACAGAGGAAGGCAGCAGCAGCAGCAGCAGCAGCATCTGAGAATTACTCAATATGCGCGTAGTTCTACGTTTTAGTTTGATTTTCAAAAATAGCGCAAATTGAGCATTGTCATCGGGCCGAGCAAAGATCGGTGCGGCGCACGCATCAAAGGCAGCGCTAGAAATTCGCTCGGGCGCATATGCAAAATACAGCTGTATAGGTGTACTCTTATATATTGTATATATGTATATATATATATTGTATATAAATATATAGATGTGTAGACATTGTTGTGCTTAGCACACAATAATAAACAGGCAGCGCGAGGCATGAAGTCATAGTCGATCTATTTGCCATAGTTCTTCGCTCAGAGCATTCAGAGTATTCAGTGTGTTGGGGGGCCGTCAGACGATCGCCAGCATTGATAGCGAGCGCGACAAACGAATCACTCGAGGAAATTCGCGAAAACGAACAACGAAGTAACAAACCAAACTAAACTAACTTAAGCTAAACATATTTCTTTAAGGGAATAATGCAATAAATACAAAACGAAAACAAAATGCACAACAACTAAGTGAAAGACGCGCGCTATAATAAATACTTGCATATATATAAAATAGAAAACAAAAGAAAACTAAACGGGAAAGATTAAACAACGCCCACGCCTACACACAAAACAACTCGAACACGTAGCCACTAAGCCGACAACAACACTCAACACACACACACACAGGGAGACAGAGGCAGAGGCAGCCACAACATGGAACGTCGTCAAACGTTAGACTCATCGATGTCTTCACTGTACTCGGCCAGCTCCTCGAATCGCCAGCTCCAGCTACAGCCACAGTCGCACTCGCACTCGCAGTCGCAGCTAGACGCCTTCAATTATTCAGCAACAATGTCATCATCGTCGCCAACGCCGAGCCAGGCCACGACGTCCTCCTCGCTGCGTGCCACCACAATTGGCACCGTTGTCGTACGCTGTGGACCCATACAGCTGGTGATAGCGCTCTTGCAAGTGAGTTGTTGTTCTTGTTGTTGTTCTCGTTGTTGTTGCTGTTGCTGTTGCAACATGAACATTGTTGCAGATACCAATAGATAACTACGTCTTCAAGTAGCAAACGCTGCAATTTATGCAGCTACACTTGGCCGCTAAGTCAAAAGGGCAAATATGTAGATGTTTGTCCTGGCCGAGCACTGAGATCTCAGTGGGCTATATAAATAAGATATCAGCATAGTTTATTGCCCTTCTAGGCGATTTTCATGACCCCAAACAGCGTGAAGATTTTCACGCTCATGTTTTATGTGTTTGTAGCCAAGTGAGATGTTTGATATGATTTTTGCACATCTTTGTTTTAAAGTCTCTTAACTTTCCCTCCTGTCTAGCCTTTTTCTCTGAGTTTGGTAAATAGAACGGAATACCTTCCATTTATCATGAATTTAATAAATTTTTCTCTGATTCTATCCTCTTATAATTCTGCGTTTGGTGTCTCTCTTTGTCTCTGTCTATAGTAGAAATAAAGTCAAGGAAAATAGAGCCTTTTCTTTTGGGCGCGTTTTCTTTGATGTAGAACTGAAGTAATTCCTCTCTTTTACAGTATGTATTTCCCACTAACTCTTTTGATCATGTATTATTTCAGACTTTCTGTTTCTTGCTCTCAAGATTTCTCATTTTGTTGCCCTTTACTCTCCCTCTCTGTTTAGCTATAACTAATTCCTTTATTCCATCTCACTCTTTCTTTCTCTCTCTCTCTCTCTCTCTCTCTTTGTTTGGATTTCCTGTTATATATATCATCCATTAAGCTTGTATAGCCCTTAACCTATCGTTCTTACGTGTCTCATTAAAGTATAACCTTCCATTCTCTCTCTTTCCCTCTCTCTCTTTTCCCTATTTGCACCTTATTTTTGTATTCATAAATATTGAACATTTTACATATCACATCTTTGACACATAGTTGATATGCCTCCAATACTCTGGCTCCCTTGACGAGGCCTATAAGAAACAGCTCCGCAACAACTCCGAAATAATCAAAAGGCAATTCAAATATTTGAGCTTTATTTCGACTAATACCAAAAACTGGTTGCTAAATTGGTTTGAAACCGGCTTCAATATAATTTCCGTGCCAATTAGCACATTGAGCGCCCCACAACGAAAGCAAAAGTTGTTGATAGCACTCGTATGAGTAGAGTGTGTATTTATTTACTTATTATGTCTGTCTTCCTCTCTCCCTACCTCTATCTCTCTCTCTCGCACTCAGCATGTATTTGAAACTAAAACAAAGGGTTCAAGGTTGTCTGACATCAGAGGAGCGAGCGTGCGCGTTCTAACGTGACAAAAGAAATGTATCTGCAAGATACTTTGGCAATTAGGCGCAGCTGCTACCTGCACGAGAACATACAAATTATATATATATATCTGCATGAATAAAAAACAAAAACTTGCTACACAGAGTGAAAGGGGAGCAGCAGACCAACAACAACCGCAAGAAATCAATGGGAAACTTTGGGGCCTCACATGCGTAGCGAAAATTGAGCCAAAATAAATCTGTGGCCTGAACTTGAGCTGAGTTTCGGAGAGTTTTATGACCCAGACCAGACAACGCTCGATAATTATGGAAGACGCCAAAGTTTTATGCCACGGGCGTATTTATTTTTTTCGTTGTTCATTCAACTCGTTTAGCCAAAAAGTCATTGAATTTTTTTACTTTTTTTTTTTTTTTTTGCCACTCTGTGCCACTTTTTCGACAACAATTTGAATGGGCTGCTCAAAGCAAACGCTCTGCATGTGTTTAGCATTTGATTTGATTTACACAATTCGATATGAGTCAGTGGAGGGGCGAGCAGTTTGTAAAGCGCTTTTCAGCACGTTTTCATATTTTGGCAAATACATCCAAACAAGAATTCTGCGAACTGAAAGCAATATGAAAAGCTGTGGACCAACACCCACACACGGGCGCTGGCAACAGTTAAATTGAAATTGATTTGTCGAGGACTTACCTGTTGCAGCGCTCGCCAAGTGCTGAAAAAAAAACAGAAATAAATGGAATAAAAATAAAGAAACGAAAAATGAATTTCTGTTCAGCGGGCAGGTAAACAAATTAGCTGACTTCGAGAACAAAGTCAAAATAAAATTCCAGAAAAAAAAGCAAACAGATGTGTGTAGTTAGCATAGATATGTATGTATATGTATATGCATATGTGTATGAATAAATACATACACTCAAACAAAAGGCGTGGCAGATAGCTTAAAGATACTTTTCGATGAGCTCAGTTTTTTTTTTTTTTTTTTTTTTTTTGTTCCGTTTGTTATTGTTATGTTTGTTATTGTTATGCTGAAAGGAAGCGAGTGTGAGAGAGCGCACGATGGGGGAGGCGGAAGCACATCCAAAGTTATGGATGGCCCGGGAAAAGCATGAGGCAACAATAACTATGTTAATAAGTTCGAGTACTTACGCATATGTCAAAGTTTCAGTTACAGATAAATATTTAACTCTTTCTCCTCGAAGTTTGCGTAAGTTTGATTGCGTTTGCTCAGCAGCAAAGTTTCCGTTGCTGTTGCTGTTGCTGTTGCTGTTGAAGAGCAGCTGTGCCCGGCTGAATATTTTAAAAGGCAATTTCTGTCATACAAACACTGTGATGGCAATTGCTAAGATAATAGCAGCTGCTTCCCCTGCCTGCTATCATTCTTGCTGAAACTCTTCTATTGGCCATTTTTGGCCATTTCGAAAATCAGCTGGACTCTCGAGTCTCGTATCTCATCGACATGATTTACATTTTATGCTTTCCTCCATCTAAATCAGCATCTTTTGCTACGTATCTGCCATCTGAATGATGGCCCAACCCCTGGCCAATGGAATTCATTTACTCGACACACATGTAACTCTTGGGCAACGCATCAATCTCAATGGCTTTAAGAAATTTACGCAAAGGTTTATTATCTTGGTGGGCACTGTTTGTTGTTCTTGTTGTTGTTCTTGTTGTAGTTTTCATGCTCCAAATGAAAACATTTCTATAAAAAAATATTTACAATTCATACAAATTGTTTCTCTAGGTTTGTTTAGTTTGGCTACCCATGTAAATTCCATGGGCTGGTCAGAGATGGACGGCAGCCAATTAGAAGGCCGAAACAAAGCAAACAGACCACGAAACCAACTTCAAAGGGGACCCCAAAGATTTACGTATTCCGCTTAGACTCACTCTAAATAAATAGTTCCCTGAAGCGTGCCGAGCGTGCAGACGCCTCCAGTTGCTCCATAATTGGAACTAATGCGCGAAATTAATTTGGCATTAGCATTGGCTAAGATTTGATGGCTATAAACATACATATACATATATATGGTATATAAGAGGAATTGGTGCGCAAAGGCGACCTGCTTTAGGCGGCTGAAGATACTCGAGATCCATTGTTGATTCGCTCTGATTTGCAATTGAAGCGCAGCCATGGACCAGGGCAGCGCCACTAATTGAATTTATGGCAATTTCATTTGTAAAAGTCGCAGCTTTTCACTCATAAATTGCGCCGACATATGAGCAGCACACACACACACACACACACACACCTCTGTAGCTAAGTTATGTGCCGTCGCTTTGGGCTGGCGTGGGTGAAACGCTGCAGCTGCGCAAAGCACGGACACTCAGCCAGAGTCAGAGTCAGAGTCAGACTCAGAGCTGAAGCTAGAGCTGAAGCTAGAGCTGAAGCTGTAGCTGGAGCTGGAGCTGCAGCTGAAGTCGGGCCTGGCAAAAGAAAGCCGTGTGCCAAGTTAGAGAAATGTTTACGACGCTTGGCAGGCACATAAATTTACGCATGAAAAGCTGCGCATTCCACTCGCACTTGCGACGAGGGCTGGGCTAACCGAAAATCACGACCAGAGTCACGATTGTCACTGTGATTTATGGCACAACGATCACACACCGTGATTTGCCGCCTGATTATGCGCTCAAAACTAAAATCCATAAAAGTCACAGCATGCCACCAAACTCTCTAAGGCGAGCTGTAAAAATTTGCAATTTGCAAAAAGCAATTATTGGCGAAGATTAAAGTCTATATATATGTATAAAGTCTATATAGATGAACAAGCAAATGTTTAATGGAGCTTGCAGTTGATATTACTCGACTCGAACTTAAATTCGTCTTTTGGGCAAGTTCTGGGTTATTTTTATCTGTCTGCAGTTTGACCTATTTATAGCTGGTATTCCCTATCTTTTATCTTTATGGATTTTCCCTTTCAAGCAGCAGCAGTTCTCATTTATATAATCTAGTTAGTTATTTATATCTTATATATAAAATAGATATATATAGTCATAGTTAGTTATTTACTTTTATTTTATTCTGCATGAACATTTTTCACGCTTCATTTAACCAATTGGATTAGAGTAGAGAACTGTGTGTGCAGCCCTCGTCAAGGCGCAAGAGGTGGCGCTGGACAATGTCAACATGTCCAGTGTTAAAAAGCAAGAGATGTTAAATAATGCAGACACTGTTGCCAGTTGGCAGAGACCGGCTTCGCCTTGGCAGCTGCTGGCCATCCCGTCGTCTATCGGCGGAGCTAATGCAGCTCCTACTTAGCGCAGCTGACAAAACAGTTTTGGCACGCACTGATTGATAATCGAAGGCAACGGCATAAATTCAGGCGAAGCAATCGCGGCATCCCAGCCAATAGTCGAGCCCGGCTGCATCTGCCAGCCGAAGTTATCTGCGGCGCAGAGCAGCTGCCGTAATTACCAGGCACGTTTTCTGGTTTTCGGGTAGATGCGAAATGTATTGCATGTTTACATGAAAACTGATATTTGCCGATAAACGTTCAATGAAAGTCGACGCTCGACGATGACTGCTGCAACTGCGGCTTTTGGCTGCTGCTGCGAGTCGTGGTTAGCAATTTGTACAAACAATTATAGAAATTATCTCTCGCCTGGTTGCGAATTAAATTGAAATTTAAATTGCATTCGATTGGAGCGATGCGATTTCAGCGAGAGCCACTCTCTCTCTCTCTCTCTCTCTCTTTCTCTCTGCCTCTCTCTCTGCTGTTGCTGCTGCTGCCTGGGAACTGGCCAAGTGCGAGAAACAAACACAGCACAGAAATAACAGAAACATATTTGATGTTTATTTTGTTTATTGTACGCGTATTAATAGAACTCAAATGTCTGACATCACACGCCTGCGACGCGAGCTAACCTTTGTTAGATCATTAAGGCTGACACAATGCAAATTAATGGAAAAAGCAAAAAAACATAAAACAATGTTTTATGACACAAATCTAGTCGAGCTGAACGGGTATAGCCGGGGGCGCAATGCTCTACAAATGAGATGAAGTCGAAGTTACATTGTAGAGTAAATAGTTTCAATAGCAGAGTGATGCACTACGGGATACCCTGTATTTGAGTTGATAGCAACTCTTATCTCTCTGAGAAATTTATATGATTTAGGATAAACAAAAACTAATCAGAGCTAAACAGATTCATACTAAAATTCTTCAAGTTTTGCCTCAGATCTATTTAGTTTTTTATCCGAATCAGAAATAGTTTTCTAGCAGCCAATATACCCCTTCGACACCCTTTGAAACGAATATTTAAATAAACAATAACAATGTCGCACAAATCATTTGCATATGCGTATTTGCTAAATTTCCAAATTTTTGCCAATTCGCACACAGACAATACGCTAATGCCCAGGCTAATGCTAATGCGGTTTTTATAGCATTCGTCTATTTGTTCCAACTCTTATAGCTCTATGCTCTGCAATTGGCAGTGTGTGCGGGTCAGTGAATGATTGATTTATGTATTTTTAATGGACTCAATTCCATTGATATGCAGCGCACACGCTGGCCATGTGGAGCAGTCAAGTGTTCCAGGGAAATGTACATACATATATAGAGCTGAAGTAGCTCTCCCTATATATATATAAGATATATTGTTTATCACAGTTTAACTTTAGCTTAGCTATAGATAGTCCAATTTGTGGCTAGTCGCGTGTCGCGAATCGGCAATTGTTTAAATCGCTAACGTTTTCCAATGAGAATCCGCCAACGCCCACGCTACAACGCGTGCAGAGCTGGTTCGAGATGCTCAATCAAATCATCAAAAAGCCGGCCTCTGCGCACTAATAAAAGAGACAGACAAAAAAAAAAAAATGAAAAAAAAAAAAATGAAATAAAATAAAAGCGCGCAATGATTTCATACAAACGATAACCACGTCAAGGTAATTTTATATCGAAATCGTGTTCTACCCGCAAAGTATTAATTTAAAAGCCAAAAACGTGTTTGGGGCTAAGCGCCTCAGAAGTGGGCTTAGACGGACGGACAGCCTGGGCTGGACATACCCGGCTGCCCATGGGAGCTCTTGGGCATTATATCATCGCTGTATCCTACTGACATGATCGTCTGAGACTTCCGTCTCGTTACCGGAGCTTAGCCAAATGGTGTCCAAACTCACTTTATAAATGGCCAAAATGCACACACACACTGGCACACACACATACGCAATTTGAATGGCCCGCTGCGTGTGGCACGCTGAAATATGATTCAACTGAAAATGTTGCAATGAATGAAGCGCCGTGCGCAGAGTCGCGTATGAATATATCGCATTCTCGTCTCTGTATTCGTACTCGTATATGAATATAGTTATGGTCTATGGCTGCCTATAGTGATGTCATGCCATATATGGTTCACATTTCAGTTAGACGACTCTGACGTGATTCGTATTTTGGTGTAACGCTGCCCGTTACATCAACTTGAATCATCCGGAGCCAACAATTTTTGCATATTGAAAACTCACTCACGTCCAAACTAGTCGAGCTGGGGCTAGAGCTGGAGACAGAGCCCGAGTCGGACGGCCGACTGCCCCTGGGCGCCAATGTTGTAATTTCAGTGTAATAGCACGGTTATTAGTTTTCATTGTAATTGATTGATTACGGTCATTAGTGAGATGGTTGATCTTGAGCGTATGCATTGGGAAACGGCAGCTGTGCGCGCTGTGGGCCCACAGCAAACAAATTAAAGTTCAATTTAATCGACGGCTAAACGATGCGTTCCGCGCCAGATATGGTTAAGCGAGGCAGACATAAAAAACAATAACAATAACAATAACGTCAGACGGCGAGCCCTAGGGGAGAGCGGGCATCAATACATTTGAGATTGTCGTGAATGTCAAACGAATTGACACCCACGCACGGGCGCTGCTTAAGCATTTGATGGGGCAGACGCTGCCTCTAAGAAATGCCAGCGAGTGGCTTTCACTGGATGTAGCGGGAGGGGGCGGTTGGGCAGCAGCAGCGTCATGTGGCACTTTTTCTTCCAGCAAACTGGAACCGCATAACTCGGGCCAAATATGTGTGAGCAGCAGCAGCAGCAGCAGCAGGAGGCAGGCAGGCAGCCAGGCCGACTGGCAGGGTATTCCAGCAAGCATATACATATCAACACATGCGCATCCCAACAGGAAAAACTAACGGATGCCATTACCATATAGAGCCACAGCTGACCTTCATTGCAATCACACACAGACTCCAATAGAGTTGGGTACTGTTGTTATTCTTCCAGTTGTCGCTGTTGTTGCTGTTGTTGTGCATCGATAACTCGACGACTACCAAAATTAGAAGCTGCTGTGCAGCATTGCCGTCGCCTGAGCAGGTTTCGATGTCATCGACTAGTTTCATGAATGAGAACGCAGCATTGGCGGCGACTGAGCGGCAGAAGGCCGTGAACGTGACTCTGAATAATATTTCCAAGAGTCACATTTATGAGGCTAAGGGTTAGGTTTTATAGAAATAAAAGTTGAACTCTCATTCGTGAGCTTCTCTTCAATTGCTTTAAATGTTCTATGAAAAAAGTCTACACATTTCTCTTAAAGAAAGCCCGCCCTTCTGAACGCCTCTCTCTGCAATTCTCATATAGTCAAGGTCTACTTCGGGTTTCATAGCTAGCTTGCCTTACTCTTATAGCTTTCCTTCATTTAATAACCAATTCACAGAGTCCCGAAAAGATTTACATCAAGGTTGTGGAACTGGAGCCAAAGATCACAGCGCTCGGCGACAATCTGGATGAGTCGCTGCACATGCAAAGGGAGCACGATGAGACGCTGCGCAATCTACAGGTAGCTAA